AGTTTAAAGTCTGCATGAAATCAAAATTGACTTTATTTACTTTACTAGCGCACATTGCTAGTCTTGATGTAAACAATTAATCCGTGCAAGTTAATCCGCTGAAAAAAATTGTTTGTCTTCGTAATCTTTAATCAAAATCGGAACATTTACTTCCGCTCTGGAATGGCATTCCTTTTCTGATGACGTCAGTTTGACGGCTTGGGCAGAATATCCTTAAACACACCCCTCCAACCATTAGATTGCTATGAGTGAGAGACAGAGAGGAGGAGCGCAAACATAAAAACCATGCCCTCTATTCAATATTCCGTTTCAGCTGGAAATATGTCACTACACTGAAATAAGTCGGCAGCAACTTCCGGTTCACGCGGACTTTAAAGGGAAAGAGAACAACACAAAACAAGATTAGTTATTAGTGTTTTTAGTATTTTCTACACTTCACTTCAACTAACCTTTTTTCCACCCAGTAATGTTTATGGCAAAGCTGAAGATGTAAAAAGCTCAATTTTTTAACAACAGTTAAAAAAATTATAGTATTAAATTATTTACATTTATTTCAAAGTCGTAGTATTTCTTATTCTTTCTTATTGAGGCTGTTTGATTTAGTTTACCCATAAATGTTAATTCATGCATTAACTATCAAACATGTACTAACATGTAATTAAGGCTGCCGTTATTCATGCGTGAATCCATATGACTCCAGTTGTAGTTAAGGATAGCTCTTCATTAATTCATGATTAGTTAACAACTTTAATAATCATTAGTATTTGATGAATTAAGTATTAATTTAGGCATTAGTGCATGATTATTCATGTACCCTTATTGTAAAGTGTTACCTAACTGATATAGTGTAAGCAGATTTTTTTGAGGGTTTCAGCAATTTCTCAGGGATCAACTCTTAATATCAATATGAATGACACATGAATGCTCATAAATTGAAATCAGTGTCAATGGTTCTGAATAATGACTTTAGTAAACAAGATGCAAAAAAAAAAATCATATTTCAAAGTTTCATATGGATGAATTAACTGTATCAGTTTGTAAAGAAATATGTGATCTCTAAAACATTTCAAGATCATTAAATGTTACCTTTGTTTTAGTATGTCAAAATGATATAAAAAATTTGTCAAGCTTCATGACATGACTTTATTTAAACTGAAAAGTTGCCTCTTTTTATTGTAGGAACCTACAAATTGCGGCCTTTAAGTGTACTCGTGCTAACCAGTAAACATGCCAACCTTCATGAATTTCTGATGCCCTGGGTGCTAACAGCATTTTATAAAATGTCAACCATTTATCTCAATGGAAATGTAAGTTGAAGGCCATAATACTAATGTTGTCCACTAGACGGAGGCACAAGACAACCAGTTATTTTAGATCACATAGCTTAAACTTTATTTTAATCGACGCTGATATCCTAGTGGTTAGTGTACTGACATATGATGCAACTGCACCTCTGGCCACCTGAATTCAAGTCCTGACTTGACACTCTTAGCCAGTCCTGTTCCCTACTCTCCACCTCACCCTTTACTGTCATTCTCTACTATCCTGTCTGCTAAAAGCATGAAAAAGGCCCCCCAAAAAACCCTGTGTGAAAGGTTCATTTATAGATTAACTATGCGTAAACTTCATTGTAGTTTCATAGTTTAATAAAGTTGAATGAAGTTTAATAAAGGCAATCTGAGACTAGTCAGTTTCCAAAGAAATCTGTGATATCCAAAATACCTTTGTATTTAAATATCCTAAATTCAGAAAACATTTGTCAAGTTGTCAGATATTACTGTATATGGTCCAGTTAATGAAGAGACAATATCATTTGTCTATTGTAATACAGGTGCATCTCAATAAATTAGAATGTCGTGGAAAAGTTCATTTATTTCAGTAATTCAACTCAAATTGTGAAACCCGTGTATTAAATAAATTCAATGCACACAGACTGAAGTAGTTTAAGTCTTTGGTTCTTTTGTGATGATTTTGGCTCACATTTAACAAAAACCCACCAATTCACTATCTTAACAAATTAGAATATGGTGACATGCCAATCAGCTAATCAACTCAAAACACCTGCAAAGGTTTCCTGAGCCTTCAAAATGGTCTCTCAGTTTGGTTCACTAGGCTACACAATCATGGGGAAGACTGCTGATCTGACAGTTGTCCAGAAGACAATCATTGACACCCTTCACAAGGAGGGTAAGCCACAAACATTCATTGCCAAAGAAGCTGGCTGTTCACAGAGTGCTGTATCCAAGCATGTTAACAGAAAGTTGAGTGGAAGGAAAAAGTGTGGAAGAAAAAGATGCACAACCAACCGAGAGAACCGCAGCCTTATGAGGATTGTCAAGCAAAATCGATTCAAGAATTTGAGTGAACTTCACAAGGAATGGACTGAGGCTGGGGTCAAGGCATCAAGAGCCACCACACAAAGACGTGTCAAGGAATTTGGCTACAAAAGTTGGTTAAATGACCATGGTGTTGGTGTGCTTGACTGGCCAGCAAACTCACCAGACCTGAACCCCATAGAGAATCTATGGGGTATTGTCAAGAGGAAAATGAGAAACAAGAGACCAAAAAATGCAGATGAGCTGAAGGCCACTGTCAAAGAAACCTGGGCTTCCATACCACCTCAGCAGTGCCACAAACTGATCACCTCCATGCCACGCCGAATTGAGGCAGTAATTAAAGCAAAAGGTACTATTTTTCCCAGTAAATATATTTCTAAAGGTGCTGTTGACTTGAAGATGAAACAAGGGTGGACATTTCAGCAAGACAAAGATCCCAAACACAGCCAAAGAAACTCTCAATTGGTTTCAGAGAAAGAAAATAAAGCTGCTAGAATGTCCCAGCCAACCACCTGACTTGAATCCAATAGAAAATAAGGACTAAAGATCAGAGTTCATAGAAGAGGCCCACAGCACCTTCAAGATTTGAAGACTCTTGAAGGTGCTGATTTGAAGAAGTGATTTGAAAAATCACACCTGAGCAATCCATGCGACAAGTTTCTTCACACAGGAGGCGTCTTGAAGCTGTCATTACCAACATAGGCTTTTGTACAAAGCATTAAATAAATTTCAGTAGTTCAATACTTTTTCCCTGTGTAATTCCATTTTATTACACATAACTTAATTCCTGAACTTATTTGTTTTGTTTTCTTTGTATGTATGGATTACTTAGGTTGTTACCGACATCTGGTGAAAATTTCATGTCACCAGCACCTTTAAAATAACACTTTCATAGAAAGACATTTACTACGTTTGAAAAGACACATGGCCATTGAACCATAACTGTATCTTCTACACAAGGCGACTATGGAGCCCCTAAAGCAGTGTTTCTCAACCCTGGTCCTGAGCGCCCCCCAACACTGCACATTTTGTATGTC